CTTTAATATTTATGCATTTGTTTATGGTGTGTGTGTGTGCTGTCTTTCTACACACACTCCTCTGATATATTGGTAACAACAGCCTGTACATTTGAAGGGCAAGTCGTAAATATAAAAAACAGAGATGGAGCGACTCTCTGGTGAATAAATGTAAGAAAGAAAACAGTTTTAATGTCAAATAAAGTGCCAGAAAAAGTCTGTAAATATAGATCTTTCTGTCTGATTACACTGTTTTCTCAGCATCTGTCTGACAGTGACATGATTTCTCATAGAAATAAACTTGTCCGTGTGTAATGACACCGACACCGAGTTATTTTTATCTTCTCTGATGAATAATCCTCCCGTGATGTCTGTGTTTGCACTGGTGTGTGACTGAATCATAAAAATTAAACACTCAGGGAGCGGGGATATAAAGTTAACACTGTGCCAATTAAGTGCCAGGATTTTTGATGTAAATCAGTGTCACCAGAATTTATGTATTTCACAACTTTAGTGACGCCACGGCCTGTTCTCCTGCAAACGAAGAGATAAGTGGTCTGGTTAATTTAAGGCGGGAACATTTCCATTTATTAAAAACACCCACGTTAAACGTAATTCATACAATATTTGGGGTTTAAACTTTATTAACTCCATAGATCTAAACATGAGGTGAAAGATTCATTTTAGTACCTGCAAAACTGCAAATCTGCAGATTTTCAGTATAATTTAAGTAACAAATACACCAAAAAGTTTTCACTTCCTTCTCATCAAACCCTCAGTTCCCTTCTCTCATATTTTCCCGAGGGAAGTAAAATTGAAAAATGAAGCTGTGCAGCTGCATATGCTTGCATTTATATTTTTTAATTTTTAAAAAAAGTCTCCAGTTTGTCACCCTGCTCCTTGGTATTTTCCGCAGATCACAGATTTCTTTGCAGCCTCCATGGCGACTTATCGTCCCGTCTATGTGTGTCATTTTTATACCACTGTAAAAAGCTCTCCTTATGTATATGGCTTTTGCTCTGTGGTACATAAGAGTATACATACGTCATGTATACAGTACAATATAGTGTTGTGTTAAATTATATCTCCACAATGTTATAAATAACATAATACCAGAAATATAAAAATTTAAAGTAATGTTTTTTGTTTTTTGTTTTTTTTTTCATTTTACATATGTCACACACAGACAATGTAGCCTGAAAAGGTCACCTTGAATAATATGTTGCAGAATTTAAAGAAAAATAGATTAAAAGGCCAGGGTTTCATCCGCTGTGACAAGTGAAGAAAGGGAATAAATGCATATTGAAGTAATAACAGAGGAGATGAATCACGCATTCAAGGGTGGATGAATCACTGCCTTAACCGATTTAATGCTCCACATTATAATCCGCATTAGCCTCTACCCATTCACAAAGCAGCTATATGTTGCCTCTTAATCTGCTGCCGGAGACTAAACAGGAGAGAAGAAAACGCATCTCCATTTTATAAGTTCAATTCTCTGCCTGATCACACACACACTCCTCCTGAGCTTCTGTGAAGGTGGGTTTTTACGTGGTGACACCAGCTGGGTGGTACTAGTTTTTTTTGTTTTTTTTTACATTTGCACCCAAGTGCTGCAGAAATTACTTCTTTTATTTATTTTTATTCTAAGCTTCCTGATGATCTACGTGTGACATAAGATGACACTTATGGCACCATTAGTGCAGTTTTAAAGCCGTATTAGTGCGATGCAGACGGAACCGGCCCAGGCAGAGCAGTGGTTCACACCAGGCGAGGAGAGCAAAGCTGGAAACGTGACAAAGGCCAGCGCTCCTTCTCTTTGTATTAACAGTCATCTATCAACATTAGAATTGTTATTTGCCTTCAGACACCTTATTCATTATGTCGAATAGGAGGAGAAACCAGGGGACACTTAATAGTGCTCCCTGGCCTTTGGATACCGTCATGCTTCTTAAGGGGAATTTATTGCAAAACAAGTGTACTTTAAAAATCCTTAGTTGGGAAAAGGCCAGAAACAGATGCCAGTGTCAGTGTTCGGTCAGTCGGACACTGGGAGTGAACTTCCACTCTCTGTTTATTTGGTGAGGTTTTCTGCAAACAAGCCAGTTTTTACCCCAACCTAAAATCCAACTGTGATCGAGTCAAACGTCTAATATATATCATCACATAATTATCATAATTAATAATTAACAGTCAGAAGTCTAAAATAGTTTAAAATAATGCATTTTTTGGAGAAAAAAGACACAACTATAATAATGAATATTCAATCTAGAATAATGTAGATAATGACATTTTTATTTTATTTATTTTTATTTAATCAAATATTATTTGTTAAATATAATCTGTACCTGTAAAATTAGGCAAAATAGGTCACTACGATAAACATGGAAGTTAATGAAATAAATTTCAAAAGGATACAAAATAATTATATAATTATGACCCTTTTTATTCCATCATATTAATTACGTTATTTCAAAAAAGTCTCATAAGTTTTAATTTGCTTAATTAAAAATAAAAAATAAAGGTTTTAGATATTCTTTTAGCTTTTAAATGATTTTTTATCAATCTTCTTAATCTTCTTTTAATAATGTAAACACAGTGTGTACACAGAGAAGAAAGGAGACAGGAAGGAAGAAGAGGAAGCAACTGTAAAAGATGTTGAAGGTCACAGAAGGACATGAAGAAGTGGAGAAGTAGTTTCCACCTGAGAGATGAGGATAATCAAAGATAGTTATAAAGAGAGTCAACTTAAGAGTGAGTCAGTGAATGTGGATCGCAAACAAGCATAAAAACACAAGCCGAGGGTGTTGTAAAAGAAGAACATCAAACAAACAAAACAAAAAAAAATATGACCAGACGTAAAACTCCAGACGTAAATACACATTATGTGCGGCCTTCGCCCAATATCAACAGAATACAACGGTGAAAACGCAGTGCAGCCACAAAGAGCTCCTCCGCCCCGTGTTTGAATCTCGCACAGAGCAACACACCTTGTACTTTACAATAAAATGAGACAAGTGGGCTTTCAGCTCAGCCGTTAATATCTGAGAGTCATCCTATCGATTGGCAAGGCCTCAGTAAAATGTCAACACTCGACGGTCCAAATACTCTCTGATCCTGCAGCGATGGAGAACTGATTCCTCCTGAGATGGCAGTGACCCGTTACGAGAGCCGCGGCAAGAAAATGTGTGCTGTGATGTGTGTGATGACAGATTTCTACAGAGACCATTATTTTTTTAAACTCTGAAAACTCTCACGCTGGTAGCACTTTTTCATACACCTTAGCGGCTTCACTGCAGCACACACACGCACGCACCAACTTACCAAAGTAAAAATGGAAGTTGGTGCGACAGCTCAGGTATGTCAGATGCTGATCTTTAGGATCGTTGCTTGGTGTCCTGCCAGTACAAAAGGTCACATGGTCACAGTGAGTGCCTCAGGCCTCATTCAACCTCACGCTGGTCAAAATCGTACGGCCGATGACTCTAAGCTGATTACAATTGTGCAATCAGTCTGTCACAGGACTGTATTCAGGGCTTCCTCTGACCTGAGCTGGCACGACTCACAGTTCCAGTTGGCACATTCACTGATATGTTTGACTGATTCACTAATTTCATGACGAGCTTGAATAGAAAGGAAATGAAACGGCAAATGAGTCGACAACCTACAGCTCTTTAATTTACTTCTCGCCAGGGTAAAAGGTTTGAGTAAAGAGTTCCATTTCAAAACAAGTCGGATTTTTTGATCATTTTTTATGCAGGGCTTATAGCAATGGTGTACTTTAGCATATGGGTTATTAACATTGTAGATTTCTGCCCCTACTTTGTGTTTTCTGGACTAGTGTCCAAATTATATCCTGGAAAAAATGATCGAAAGTCAAGGGCAGATCCCCAAACCTCAGATATGTTGAAAAAAAAAAAAAGATTTTCCGTCAATTGAAGTGTAAGGAAAGGTTTGCAGTTCATAAATGCATCACAAGTATTGACAGGGAGTGATGTACTAAGAGTTTAGTTGTAAGCAACTGGACTTCTCAGAACTTTTCGTTCGTTTCGTTCCTTTTCCTCATTTATTGGTTTGACTCTGCTTCTGACCAGACGGAGAATTTTCCCATTTATAATGAAAGCAGTTCTTCATAATTTCACCAGCCACAGATGGGATGAGGCATTCCTCTCCAAAATTTTATTCTCTGCCATGTGCAGTTTCTGAATGGCTTTATACTGAAATTAACAAAAGATGAATTATTTGTCCAGATCGCTACTCAGTTATCGAATTCAGATGAGTAAAGTCAAGCGACAAAACTTTGACATGTTTTGCACTGAGAATCTGCTGGTGTATATATAGTTATGGTGGTGAGTAATATGTTGCGTGTTTGCATATTTTAAGTGGTTTTAAATCCGACTATTTAGAATGGTTGTTTCCAGAATTACAGCTATAGCTTATAGTGTTTGTTTTTTTATTAGAGGCACAGGTTTGAAACTTTACTGTATTTATCTAAAAACTTCACTTGCTTTGCTATAACTCATGTTGTCAGATTTAACCATTTTGCTCAAATTAAGACTAATATATAGGAGTAAAATGACTTGCTCTCAGATCAGTGGTGGTTGTAGGTCTGTAAACAGGGGAAGCTAATTTTAAGGCCATTATTTTAAATATAAATTCTGCACTTCATGCTGAGAGTGAACGGAAATGAAAATAACTAGAGTGAGAAAACAAAACTATTTACAAAAACAAAGAAAGATAGAGCTAGAAGCTGTATTTACATCATGCATATATTCAAATTCTGTACTGCTACTTTGTCACGCTAAGTCGACGCAGACATCACAAACATCTGTGTATCTTTATTTTTTTGCCCTCTTCAGCTGAGCCTCAACAGGGTTTAATACAATCTGTGTCTGTGGGAACATATGGAAGCAGATTCAGGTTTATTGATAAATAAAAACACAGTGGTCAGCAGTGGGGAACTCCATCAGCCCACAGTGCATACACAGCAAAGATGTGATCATTTTTTCTGTCACTTTCAGGAATGCTGAGGGACAGCTAACAGCTGGTACTGGAGTCCACAGTGACACCGGGAGCACATGATGGAAGACAGCGGATGACAATGGAATCAGTCCAGGGAGGCAGATAAAACCGGGGGGAAATGGGAAAAGACCGGGACCTGGAAGTTTTGGAAACCCTTGTCACCCTGAATACACAAGGTAAGTCAGCCAGTGGCTCCTACTCTTCCCTCCACCCATCCTTGATCTGCTCCATCTATCGTTTTGTTTCCTCTTGCATGTTCTCAGACATGCTCAGGAGATTCCATGTGGCCAGAAGTACCAGGTGTTAGAAAGAAAGATACCGTGATAAAGGCACACACACAAGGTGCGAAATACAACTTTTAAAATATGATTCTTGGTGAAATTAAAGTAAGAGGTGTTTTAATGGTCACCATATCGCAGCAGCTGCTGTTTACACCCTCGGTTGCAACTTAGCCTCTCGTGTCATTGATAAGTATTTAGCCATTTTAGTGGAAATGACACAGAGAGCTGGAACTACATGCTTCTGAAGGCTCCTCTCTGGTAAAAGGGATGTCGTTAGTGAGACCTGATCCCTGTTGATCAGGTGGAGCTCTAGCTTTTCCCAGACATTTGCATCAGGGGTTTGGTTGTGGGGGCTGAGGTACCAGCTGCTCTGCCGCTCACACAGCCTGTATAGAGATGAATTGCTCCCTGGGTGTCAATAAGTCACCACGGTTACCATGGAAACTCCACAAACACAGAATTTCAGAGGAAACAAGCGAGATGAAGTTGATTACACTTTGCCTTTTTTTTCCTTTCAAGAGCTCCTGGGAGTGTCTTTTTTCCATGTAGAAGAAGAATTCCGGGTATCCGTAGGATATTCCTATTGGATCGTTGGGGTTCCCCCATATTTTCATTTATTTCTCATGCAGGTGCTTTTTTAAGTGCTTCAGTGTATGTACATATTTTATGATGTTGCAGTACAGTCGTGGTGGTGTGCTGGAAGCAGACACACCTGAAGGAGCGAAGCTCTGGGCATTTCTACACCACAAATATGATTGATAAAGAGCAGAATGAAAAAAAACACTGTAATGAATACCAATGCACTCGCACGTCGCTGCCGCCAGGATGGAAGGGTGAGCTGGACCACAATTCAGCATTCTCCTCTGCAAAGAAAGCTGGAGGGAGGCCGTCGGTGGAGGTGGTGGGAAACACCGAGCTGTTAGATGAAAGGAAGTTGAAGTTCAAGGAGGAAATGGAGGAGAGGGGTAGAAATTGTAAACGCTGACTTTTTCTGAAGCTCAAATTGAAAAAGGAAAGAAGGATATTGAAAAAGAGACAGCATGAGACAACATCATGGCCCTGACGGTGTGGTGGCACCTGCAGAAAGCTGCCTCAGCAGCACGGGGAGAGGAGTGTGTGTGTGTGTGAGTGTGGACTCCAGTTAGTGTGCTGTACTTTGTGCATAATGTGTGTAACATTGTGGAAGCCCCAATGTGAGCTTCACAGTGTGTGGGTAAGAGAGGGAGAAAGAGAGAGAATGAGAGTGTTCACCTGGTATAGACAAACAATTCTATTATTGTGGTACTCCACAGGTATCCACTGAGTGAGAAATTAAATTTGAGTTCTAAAATTTAATTTGGAGTTAGGATTAGAACTGCAGGTATCCACTGAGTGAGAAATTTAATTTGGAGTTAGGATTAGAACTATGGCCACTGTGGTACTGGGGGTTAGGTTAAGGGTTGAGGCTAGACCGGTGTTTCCCGACCTCTTTTGAATCACAGTACATATTTTACCTTAGAAAAACTAAGGAACACCATCAAACACAAAGTTCCAATAGTATGTGTAATTACATTTTAAAAAGATTTCAATTATTCACAATTTATTTCCTCAGTATTAAACCCTGGCCTGTTTAGATGAACACGACTCTGATATACTTGCAGGAATTGAAGAAAGACAAACACAAAGAACAGTTCTGAGGCATTTCTTGTTTTGGTTTTTATCGCCACCTGCTGCCACCGAGTTGAAGAACGTTTCACTTTTCTGCCTTTCATTGTTGCATCGATAAATTAAAACACTATCTTTGCAGTTATTAAATTATAGTTTTTAGACCAGCTAGGTGAAACTGGATAATTTAACACAGCCCACCTGATGAACTCTCACAGCACACGAGTGGTTGGGAATCACTGGGCTAGGGAAAATACACAATCTTCATGTGAAATACACACAAAACACACAATAGAGACCCGGTGTTTCCGACGTTTAGAATGATGGCTCTCTACCAGACATTTTTCTGTTCGCCTCATTTTTCTGAAGCCTTTTGGGACGAAGTTAAAGAAACTGCAAAAGACAGTGTGAGCAAATCTGACCAGAGGCAGCGACGAGGGCAGTGAACAGGAAGACAGGGAGGAGATGAAGGAAGCAGGAGGAGGAAGGAGAACATTACACTCTCGTTCAAAGCGTCACTCAAACTGAGGTGCCAACCAGCACCGCCACTCGCTTCTGGTCCACAGCCACTCCCAGCCTTCAACGGGATTTATGCCCGACTCTGACCGAGCTCAGACCCAGGGCGTTGTGCCAGTTTACATCTCTCGTGGTTTTTGCAGGCGTCACAGACACGAGGTGTGAAATAAGAAATTGCGAAAATGAGTAAACCCATTATCCCCAAACTTGGTATCTCATTAAACAATACAATTAGTCATTGGTGTAAGTGACTAATGTTTGCAGCCTTAGTCACTGTGGAAACAAACTGACATTGTTTCAGCAGCTTTTAAAATGGAAATGCACTCCTTTTTTCTTTTGTTTATTGGGTTATGAACTAGGGATGCTTACAGTGAGAGTGTGGTGTTGTTCAGAGAAAACAAGCGTCCTCCAGACATCACAGGGAGCCATCATGATGGTACCAGCGTTTTTCCTCTGTTTTTTAACTTCTACTGAAGTAGAAGATGAATTGAGAAAATCGCTGGCAGATAAATCAATGTTAAAAAAAACAAACAATCCTAACTTCATCCTGGAAGGCTAACTGTTATGGTCTGATGGTGTTTTCTGGGGATGACAGTAGCATTAGTAACGAGGCTCCAGCCACCGGGCCTCTCACACCATCTGGCCTCTGATTAGTCTGGGCTTGTACTGACCGTGTTGTTTATATTAGACTTGGTGCTGGAGTAAGTTTTTCTCATTGCACTAAACTTCCACTGAATCGTGGTTTTCTGCCTCCCATCTCTCCTGCTCTATTACACAAACAGTGCAGAAAACAAAGTTCTGTGCCACTGTGCTTAGTTTCCCCTGGTGAGATTCACTCGGCGATGTCTTTCATTCATTAATGTCTTTGTGCAAAGTCAAGCACAACAAGCCCTGGGACGGGCTGCTGGGATTTTGTGAGACACCGGTGCCACTGAGCTGTATCCACACAAACATTCCTCTCCATGCAAATCCCCCATGAAAAGCAGCAGCACAGTATTTCAGAAAAGGAAAATGAAGGAGAGACTGGATGTGTTCTACGGTGCAAACAATGATCCGTCAGCAGCCTGATTTCCTCTGCCTCACATCTGTGTAATGTAAGAGTGTAAAACTCAGAGGAAACAACACTTTGGTGACATCATTAACAGACTGCAGTGTCCTAACTTCCTGCATGTTCGGAATATGTCCCTGGGATACCTTTACTGTAAAACCAAAATGAGGTCCAGTCAGCCTTTCAGCAGTGGGAGGGAACCTCTCAAGTGCAATTTTCAGAGCAATTAAAATCAAAAATAGCCTCCATGTTGTGGATTGTTGATTTATTGTTCTCTGGGTGTATTGTAACCACACATACATTTCTATTTTTGTAGTTCATCAACAGTGTCAGCAGAAATCAAATAGACATGCAGCAACACACACTCAGAATGTAAACATGTCCAGTCACACGCCTGCAGCTGTCAGAGATACTTTCATAAAGATTATAAAAGTGAAATTACGCTGTAAAAGCGTTACGTTAACACCATTTGTCATCATTAATCCCCGCAAATGTGCTTTGGCACTGTTTTGAAAGCTGGTATTTGCTGCTTAGTAACATGACCATATATTCTGAGAACACCAACAAAAGTATGCGCAGTGGAAAGCACTGTGTCCTCTGATGACAACACAAGTGCAGTCTGCTGTCCATATGAGGAAATTCATGTTAAAGGGCCAGAAAAGCAGCGCAAACTGCCATTGTTCTCCACTTAAACAACACAAAAATATTCAGTAACATATACTCCAGCATTAGCACCCACACTACACTTACTAATATATTTTTTTATAAAATTATTGATATTTTTGCAACTGTATAAATCAGAACTGTATGGGAGTTGTGCATCTTCCTCTAACTGACTAACTCTCTGCCTGTAATTGTTCAATAAAATGGGATTTTTTTTTTGTGGGGTGTAAACAAGCTGCAGTTTAGAAACGAGGCAGAGGCAGCACAGAAACTGCTTTCTGTCAAATTCCAGGCTGATCAGAGAAAGCCTTCCTGCAGGAGTGGACCAGTGTTATCAACTGCTATCCAGTGCTGAAAAACTCTAAAACAAAGCTTCGCAGCCGCTCGAATCTATAGGCATTACTCTCTGGGAGCTTAGATTTAAAGTTTCTAGCTTGTGGGTTTACAGGTGGAATGTGCCTTTAGGCTATACGCATGAACAGTACAGACATTTATTCACAACTTGCAGTACAAAATATCTTGTCTGTTTTCTGTGCAAGCTGAGCATGTAATGATGTAATCTAATATAAGAAAATCCCCTACCTTCTTTTAGGCCTTCAGTGATATTTAGGATATAGACACCAATAGCAAACAGTTTCCTCTTTGCCTCTATGGTTGCAGTACCTGGAGTGTCCACTGAGACATTAGTTTACAGGTGAAGCCACAATGTCTAGTCATATATATAAAAAATATAGCTGTGTCATAAAGTTCAATAGTGGTGGACAGTGCCAGAAATCACTAGGTGCTCTGTGCTGAATACCATCCTTCTCAGGTGCTAGATGTCCCTCTTATCTTAAACAGCCAATTATATATGAAATAACCAACAATGTTGAAGCTTAAAATCAAATGATGGAATAGGGTTCCAACTATGTTTATAGCACCCTCTGCCTGGTAGTGAGTGGAAGCCTTTATCTTCCAAATTGATAAACAGTTGGAGTAAATTCCGGCCTTTAGTTTCTGTGTCCTCTCAGCCGTTATGTCTTAA